CATCATAGATGTGGGTGGGTGCCACTTGAAAATTGAGTCACAACGATGCCCAACCGCACAACGGATACATGGAGGGCATACCGTACCTACCAGGTAGCGGAAGGAGATCAGGGGTCAAGAACTGGCTGCATCCAAGCAAGAATGACGAGGCTTCAGATTCCAAACGCAAGCAGCGCACGAGCTCAGTGCTGGCACGTAGAATTCAGAAAAAACAACAACAACAACTCGCTGATGCGTGTCCCCCTCGCGTGCTCTCCCCTAGTAGCGTTTGAAAAGCCAGAAACACAAAATGAACTGGGCAAGGGCGGGATCATTTGGACCAGGACTGAAGTGAAGCACTCACTACTCAAAAAGCATGCTTTGATAGAAAATACATCTCTCGCGAAGGAAGGCAGCGTGGGATTTTTGGACATAGTAAGGCACAAGCGATTGAATGGGCAAAGGCGACATCCACACATCACTAATCACTCATCCCACCAGGTTGTCTCCTCTATCTGGTCAAACGTGATTTTCAAAGGCAAACCAGGCCTCGTTGATATGACTCGCTCTCCCTGTCCTTGTTGCCCGCGCTAGGCGGCCGAGCTTTGTAAGCCGCCAGCCACGCTAGCTCCTGGACTGATTTGCCGTTCCGCCTGGTCCCTTGCTGAGTCTTCTGCAAAAACTGCTTGCACCCTGCTTGGGGTCGGCAATGCAACAATTTCTTTGATGGTTCCTAGCTGCCACGAACAAGAGTGAAGCAACAGCATTTGGAGACAGGCCGCAAATCACATTCCGACTTTCAAAGTTTAAGCCAGGCAAAAGGTTCAACAAGAAGGGTATGGATCAAACAATCGGATGGCTGGAGATGTACGGGTCAGGGTTGCAACAAAGTGCACTTGGGGAATGGTCGCAGTTGCAGCCTTCACGGGCAACCCAATAGAACTGTTGGTCTGCGAAAAGGAACACTTTTCATTCTGCCCGAGAAACAAGCCAAAGCAACAAGAAAGGAATCGCGGATCCGTTTGGCGCGTCCCATGCATGCGATGCCTAGGAGCGCAGTGACTTGTGACTTGCCTGCGTCTCGGCTGCCGCCCATTCGCTCGGTGGCTCGCCATGCTTCGCCTCAGCGCGAGGTGCGAGGTGTGCGCGGCACGGATAGGCAGGGAATGTGGGAATGACACCTATAAACCATCCAACTGGTGGTGTCCTTTAATTAAGGGAATTCCCAGGTTCATTCCCGCATTCCCTACTGAGCACCAGCAATTCAAATTTGTTAAGAGACCGGCGCACGCACGGGTCATGCAACGAAGACAAGCCCGAGTCATGTCAGCGCCTGCGTTTGCATCAGTCCGTATCATCCACATGGCCCCTCTGCGGCCCAGAAAGGGACAATCGAATGCGCGCAAAAACAAGCCCTGAGTGTCGCAAATAATAATTCAGTCTGAATGACTAAGAGTGAGCCTAAGATCCTAATGCCCACCACGCAAGCAAAGGGCAACCTCACCCCAGTCATCACCCTGAAACCTCACTTGTTTGCGATTCCTCTCAAGAAATGGGGCATGCCTGCCTGGGGCGAATCAACTTCTGCCGAGTCCAGTGACGTAAACTGAAGTTGTCAGGCCTGTGAGGAGCACTCGTCAAGTGAACTTGACCAATCCAAAGCCTGCTCTCAACTGTGGTGTGGATTAATATTATATTGGGATTGTACTTGTAGTATAGCTGATGTTACATTTATTTTTCAGTAGAATATATTCATAGGCTACAACCGGTTTTGCTTTCAGAGAACTACTTAGAATGCGCAAGAGTTGCATTCTGTTTTGCTTGTTTATGTATATGCATATATATAGATTAATAAAAATATGTATATGTATATATGTTGATTTGCTCACAGCGAATGAATTGGACATCTCCAGTTAACGCGCCATCATGCAAAGTGGATCCCTGCTGCAAAAATATTCCGCGATTGGATGGAAAGTCAGCTTGGAAAGGGGAGCGTCCACCATGCCCGAGCTTTCGATGACACTTGATGGAGCCGGGTTGCATACATCCTCCAGGCAGCGTGGCTGAAGCCGAAACAAGTGGGCGGCGCCGGCGCAGGCAACATATTTGCCCAAAGAATGTTGACACATTACAAGTGCCCAGATATCAATACATTGGCAAATGCTCAAATCCCTGAGTCCGATCAATACTCCTGTATCTGGTGTGGCCATTCTTCCAAGTCGGCTCTTGACTTCCAAGGGATGGGGGGTCAACTAAGGTTCAGCCAGGCTTCACGACGTCCTGGCTGCTTGGAATGCTAGGTCACGCGACTTCCCCTTTCAGGTCGAGGGATTGGCTGACAAATGGCACTGCAAGAAGCGAGAGGAAGGCTCCAAAGAAGGTTTAAACTCGCCTGGACTTCTGCAAGTCATGCCATCTGCCCGCCCAACTGAGCCCAACTGGGGGCCGTTTGGCCAAGTCGGCCATTTCGAGAGGGTGGGCCGGACGGAACGCTTTTGCCAGTCCCACTGAGGTGCCCGGCTTCGTTTGGCACTCTTCCCTGTAAGCTTGCATGCGGCGGTTCCTCAGCCAAGACAAAGCTCTGCTGGACATGGGGAACCGAATTGAGTCACAACTCATTGTCAACTAACCAAAAAGCAAACCCTGAAAATAAGCTAACCCGGAAAATAAGCTCATACACTGGTCAAAAAAGCGCTACACCTCACGTCAGTGTGCAGCTTTGCTGCACCGCGCCGATTAGGATTGCTACAGCCTTCTGTTACTTCTGTTTGAGGCCAGCTCGGTGAAGGCCATTGGCCAAGGTGTCATAATGTAACACTAACGCCCGTTTCACCTACATCATGTCACTGGACCTCAGGCATGAGGGGGAAATCTTTCAGTTTAAGGCGTGAAGCACGCCAAGGAACTGTTCTTGGCTGCGTGAGTGGTTGGCCGTGTTAGGCCGTGTTACTGCAGATCAGGCTGCATAGTCTCTTCAATGAAAGAGGCAAGTTGCTGGTGTGTGTGTGTGTCGTGTGTGCGTGGTGTGTGCGTGGTGTCTCTGTGTGTGTGTGTGCGCGTGTGCGTGTGCCTGTGACTGTGCGTGTGTGTGCGTGTGCGTGTGCGTGTGGGTGTGTGGGTGTGTGGGTGTGTGGGTGTGTGGGTGTGTGGGTGTGTGTGTGTGTGTGCGCGCGTGTGTGCGTGTGCGCGTGTGCGCGTGTGCGCGTGTGCGTGTGCGTGTGCGTGTGCGTGTGGGTGTGGGTGTGTGTGTGTGTGTGCGTGCGTGCGTGCGTGCGTGCGTGCGTGGGTGGGTGGGTGTGGGTGGGGGTGGGTGGGTGGGTGGGTGGGTGTGTGGGTGTGGGTGTGGGTGTGGGTGTGGGTGTGGGTGTGGGTGTGGGTGTGGGTGTGGGTGTGGGTGTGGGTGTGGGTGTGGGTGTGGGTGTGGGTGTGGGTGTGGGTGTGGGTGTGGGTGTGGGTGTGGGTGTGGGTGTGGGTGTGGGTGTGGGTGTGGGTGTGGGTGTGGGTGTGGGTGTGGGTGTGGGTGTGGGTGTGGGTGTGGGTGTGGGTGTGGGTGTGGGTGTGGGTGTGGGTGTGCGTGCGTGCGCGTGTGCGTGTGCGTGTGCGTGTGCGCGTGTGCGCGTGGCGCGTTGCGCGTGCGCGTGCGCGTGCGCGTGCGCGTGCGCGTGCGCGTGCGCGTGCGCGTGCGCGTGCGCGTGCGTGCGTGCGCGTGCGCGTGCGCGTGCGCGTGCGCGTGCGCGCGCGCGTGGCGCGCGTGCGCGCGTGCGCGCGTGCGCGCGCGCGTGGGCGCGTGCGCGCGTGCGCGCGTGCGCGCGTGCGCGTGCGTGCGCGCGTGCGTGTGCGCGTGCGTGCGTGCGTGCGCGCGTGCGTGCGCGCGTGCGCGCGTGCGCGCGCGCGCGCGCGCGTGCGCGTGCGTGCGTGCGTGCGTGCGTGCGCGCGTGCGTGCGTGCGTGCGTGCGTGCGTGCGTGCGTGCGTGCGTGCGTGCGTGCGTGCGTGCGTGCGTGCGTGCGTGCGTGCGTGCGTGCGTGCGTGCGTGCGTGCGTGCGTGCGTGCGTGCGTGCGTGCGTGCGTGCGTGCGTGCGTGCGTGTGTGTGTGTGTGTGTGTGTGTGTGTGGGTGTGGGTGTGCGTGTGTGTGTGCGTGCGTGCGTGCGTGTGCGTGTGCGTGTGCGTGTGCGTGTGCGTGTGCGTGTGCGTGTGCGTGTGCGTGTGCGTGTGGGTGTGCGTGTGCGTGCGCGTGTGCGTGTGCGTGTGGGTGTGTCATGACTTTTAGCACGCCGCAAAGCAAGGGTTTCAAAATAACTTTGTGTTCCTATTGGGTTAGTCTCAGCAACTGAGACGACTGTCAAAAAACAAAAAGCGCTCACCATGTTACCCGAGGCCGTGCCTCAAGCCCGGCGCGCGCCCCGAGATTGCCCCAGACCCGAGATGGCCGAGGCGAAGGCATTTCCGCCTTCTCCGCTGAGAGCCTCCGAGCTGGACTGAGCCCATCTCAGTGGTACTTGTTCCTGCTTGCATGCTTAGCATCTTGGTTGGTTCGTTGGTTGCTTGGCTTGCTCGCTTGCCTACATGCTGTATGATTGCTTGCGTGCTTACTTGCGTGGTTGTTTGATTACTTGCTTAGTTGCCTATTATTTGGTTGGTTGGTTGCTTACCTGCCGATGCGAAAGGTTGGAGTGGTTTGGTTTGGTTTGATGTGCCTTCCTTGGTTTGATTGAGGTGTCTTTTCACTGGCGTCTCTGTTGTGTGTGTGGGTGGATTTAGTCGGCTGTTTGCAAATGCGCGTGCAAGGCGCATAACAAATTGAATCGCTTGACTTGCCGGGACTGTTCACAATTGTGCTGAGAATGCCGTCATCACCCCCCCCCCCGAAATAGTGAAGGCCCCTATTCAACAAGCAAAAAACACGCAGCGTCACCAATACTAAATAGGAATAGGCCAATTCTAAATCAATACAAAACCAGCGATTTCTCCCAGCGACCTCGCCTCCGGTCGTATTAGGGGACCTTTCGCCAACAACAGGCTGCGGTTTCCATTTACTCAAATCCTTTACTTGAACATTTTATTTGTCTGCTCAGGAACGGACCTACACAAAAGGCAAAAACACTGGAATTGGTAGCCCAAATCTGCTGAGGACCCCCCATAACAAAACATGTTTCTCCACACGGGATGTATTTTGGGGGCATGCCTTCTTGCTTTAGGGGGACTAGCCGTCACTAGACCACTTACCACTCTATGGTCCCGTTTCCGGCTGGTACCTGTTTGCTGAGTGGACGTGGAAAAAAGGATAACTCTTGGTGTGTGTGCTCTTTTTCCGTTCAATCACCTGGACAAAGGGGGTAAGAGGAGAGCTGACGTGTTCACTGCTGACATCCATCCGGGCTGCTTTCTCAAGCGTTCTTCTTGCTGGTGCTCAGTAGGGCATGCGGGAATGAACCCGAGGATTCTTGAAGGAAACCTCAAGGGATGGGTTATAAGTTATAAGGGTCCTTCCAACTCATTCCCTGCTGCGCACCAGCAAGTCTTTGGAGAAGATGCCGGCGCGCAGGCCACCAACCCATGTTTGCATTGGCCCTTCAAACCAACTCCGAAAAGGGCTCCCCGGAAATGCACAACAATAACCGCGCTGCTAGGCTGGGGTGTAATTGGCAAAGGTTCTCCAACCTTCAAACATCAACCGTGCCTGTTGCTTGGCGACATCCGACATGCCTGACTGTGGACAACAACTAGCCGTTAGTCAGAATAAGAACTGCACGCATTTGATATAGAACGTGCCGAACCTGTGTTCCAACCAATGGAGCCCAAACAAGCTGAACGGTAAGGCCTGGTCCGCGAGCTATGCTGGATGCTCTCAAGTCAAACAACTTTAGATGAACCACCCGAGCGCCTGTCTCGCTCAGAGCGGAACTCTGCCATCGTCTTGGACCTCGCAGGCGAAACTTGCTGCAGTAGACCTGACTGGCCAACCAGAACCAAAACGATGACGCTGCATACGCAAACCTACTCCAAAATGGACTTAAACTCAGGGGTTCCCCTTTTGGGACGAATGAACCACCCCTGGGTTTAACCCTACCCTGGGGTGGTCAAAAAGTGGAACCCTGTACGCAAAGGCGGCCACGGCCGCAAGGGTTTCTTCACCTTCCTTCAACCGGAGGGTTGGATGATTTGCATCAAGTTGCCGCCCGTCAAAGCTTCACGCGCCAATCTCCAATCACACTGCGGAGGGTTGCCAACAACACGCAGGGACTTTTTTTACCAGCCCACAATTGATGTCAAACCTGTGATTTCGCTGAGGCACAGCAGCATTTGCACGCCACAAAGGGGTTCGAACAAAATGATGGTCTGTCGCCAGGTCGCAAGGAAACTGTTCGATCTCGGCAAAATAAAAGTTCTACGTGTGTAGTGCTTTGCTCTAGTGTGTTGGTATAATATGCACACCCACCCACACACTGCGTCACACGCCTGCGCACGTGCCTGGCACATGGTAATCTCAGGAGTTGCTGCTTCTTTGACATTTCATTTGCCCGTTGTGTATTGTTTTGGGGTCTGTATTGTTTTGGGGTCTATCCACGGAGGAAACGACGTGGATATTCCTGCTTGTGATGGTTTGTTTTTCGTATTAGCCCTTTCTCTTGGCCAGATCGACACTGAGTTGCATTCGCTTGCACTTCTCAGAGCTGGTCATTTTGTCAAAACAGATCCCATGCCAGGCGCAGGCATGTGCGCAGGCGTGAAACGGAGTGCGTGGGCAGGTGGGCGTGCTTACCACGTGCCAGGCCTGTGCGACTGCGGAGTGTGTGGGCAGGCGTGCTTACCATGTGCCAGGCTTGTGCGCAAGCCTGCAACGGTGTGCCCGGGCGTCTCAAAACCAGCGATTTGTGGGCCTGTAAAGCACTTCTCGGGGAACAAGGTTCCTTGAATGTGTGCCATGTTCACATCATGCTGCACCAAGTGCTGGCCAAGACTGGGCGGCGCGCAGTTTGTCGTCGTTCATCTTCATCTGCTGCGCACACTCCTGTGCATGAACTGGCTCGCAATATCTAGCCTGCAAAAACTAGGCCATCACTATAGTGGCTGTTGTTTCTTTCACAGCCAATCAGTCTCAAAACCACCACTTGGATCTGAACTAGAGACAAGGCACAAACTGATATGACGATGATCCGCTTGAATTTTGAATCTGGAATGTGCTGGCACACGGCCGTTGCACTCAAGCAAGCACCAACTTGATGCGGCAAGGACGCAGCTGAACATTTGCCAGCCCGCACACTCGGTCAGGAGTGCATCTCGAAATCAGCCGCACCTGCTGATCAATACTTCCATCAGACATGGCACAAAGGGCCCAACCGCTCAACAAGGGTTCTGCAGCAAGCCCCAGGGCCCACATAAACCTAACACCAGCCGCAGTGAAATGTGTTGGGCTGGCAGCTTGGGAATGACACCCTGGCTGCATAGTTGACGAGTATTGCAGGCAACTTGTTGCAAGTAGCGTCTGGCAAACTCCACAGCACGGCGAGTGCCCTACACAGCTTATGCCGGTCCTCGTAGAACTGCTCCGTCTTCTTACTCATTTCCTGCCTTGGGACAGTTCCAGGGCATTCGCAAGCAGTCCTTCAACCTTCAAACATCCTATGATAGCTCGAGCAGGCCTGCAGGCGTGGCCAAATTCAGGACAGCCGAGCCAACATGCAGAGAGTTTGTCCATCAGAACCCCAAGGCCCACAGACTGTGAGAGGAAAGGACGGTCCTGTCATGTATGTGATCCGGCGTTGTGTCACTCAAACTCTCACATTGAGCGCCCCGGCTTCTCATGATCGTGGTGATGCCCTCGGCAGGAAGAAGAAGGGCACATGTTCAGATACGATTGGTGCGTGTTGCTGCCCCAAATATGGCACGGGGACCTTTCATTGATTGGTAGCTCGCACAAACTGTTAAAGTTCCGCAGTCCCCCAAGGAAAAGTCTGGACCTTGCAAGGTTCATGCGTTCTCCTCCTGCATCGTTAGCACATGTCACAGCCCAATCGTCCTCCTGCATCTGTTCAGGTCAGGAACCGGTGTGAAGCAATCGTCTTGGATTGCGTGGCCCACGGCCCACAGGGCGAGCAAAGCCAACCAACATGTTGACACCCGATAACCCCTGATCAAAGACTCAGGCTTGGCTCCAAGGCTCCAAAAGCTCCCGGATTAAAGAAGTCCCTCTTCAAATGAACAACACTCTGATTTAGAGTTGTCAAAGTCGCGCTACGATTGATTGCAACTGGCCCTAGTTTGAGGCATTAACCTGCCATTGAAAGAGTTTGACCAGCGCATGAAGGGTAGGCTGGGCCCCTAAAAGTGCTCAACAACTCACTCCCCTACTCACGGTCCGTCCGCTCGCAAAACAATCACATTCGACACGTTGCTTTCGTATTTCTTTTTGGCCAAGCAGGCGCCCCAAAAAAGAATGCCCAAAAAAGAAGATTCAAAGTCTGGATTTTTACTCATTCAAAACATCTCCCCGCCTGGGGGGGGGGGTGGACAAGGGGAGGGGGGTAACGTTAGAGGAAATGTCAGAGGCCGCTGCGCATTTCCTCCTTGTCCATGATGACCTGGTCCTGCGATTGCAGCTAACACGTGGCGGGTGTCAGCCGTGGGAGAAACAAGTAAAATTAAGATCATACCCTGCTCTTCGGAAGCATGCGATGATGACATTGTCCAGTTCTCCACACAGGGGGGTCGAAGGCAACGTTCGCGTCGCGCCTTCTCCCTCTCAAGCAGTTCGACATCAGCACCTTTCGCGCAAAGACTCTGGCATATGCGCTAAGTCTCCCTCCCTCTCCCTCCCTCACTCTCTCTCTCTCTCTCTCTCTCTCTCTCTCTCTCTCTCTTCCTTAGGTTTCAAAAAGCATTGCGCTTTCAAACCGATTGTTGCGCTTGTCCCACTGCCCGTTCCAAACAAGGATGGTTCTGCAATCTTGTCTAACATACCAACCTGGGGCACCGGGCGGAGCTGCTGGATGGTTTGCTCGGCCCGGTCCTTGTCTGCCTGGACATGGCCAGCCTTTCACATGCAGAGGTGGTAATTTGGCACTCGCCAAGCCCCAGAACTGAAGGTCTTGGACGTACGACTGACACGGACCCTAGCTTTTCCTACATATCTCATCAAGGTGACTGACGAGGTAAAACCAAGATCTATGCTCCAGATTAGAAAGCTGGCGGAGCCAGCTTTCTAGGGCACACGGTGCGCAACTCGAAACGTCAAACAGCTGACAACCCGCACTTTGACCCCAACACGGCTTGCTTGATTTGGAACCACTTACCATCAGGATGAACCCATGCAACGACCTAGGCATGAAACGGGAGCGAACGGAGTGTACCGCAACTACTTTGGCTTTTGCCTAGGAACAAGCACAAACATTATCTAACATTAAAAAAAAGCTACTTGCCTCCTGGTTCTCTCCATAGCTGTGCCGCGAAGGGCCTTATGATTTGCAGCGGCGTAGCTGCGGCTCAAAAACAACACCTACGACCCACGGCCATCTCGCCTGCAGCTGCTGCACCGTGCGCTCGTTCGCCGACCGAAGCTCTGCCTTGGGCGAGGCTCGGTGCATTCCCTCCAGTGGGTGGTTTGGATTGGTGGTTTGGTGGTTTGGTGGTTAAGGAGGGGTTTCGCATGTATCCTCTGCAAAAGCCGGGGGGTTCAAAACCCAAATCCCGAACCAATCCAAAACACCAATTAGGGGGTACCTGATGAAAAACAATGTACGTCAGTGGGAAAATAACCATGGTGAGATAACCCACAAAAGCCACGGATATAAGTCTCCGTCCAGTGGGTTAAAACCAGGCCTACTGACCACGTCCTAAGTACCCGATCGCCTCCTTTAAGGACTCACTAGACCTCAAGAAATCCCCTGAATAAAACCCAGGGGTAACAGAACCTTGGCATCTGAGGCAAGGGGCCTTTGCTCAAACCTCCGCTGCTACACAAGCACATCCCTTGAAACTCGCAAGCCTGAGCCAGGTGACCGCATGCAATTGCCATGCCATGTGCCAGTGACTCCTCACGGAATACGCGTGGCTCAAACGATTTGCCGGGCATCCGTCGGATCCAGCTCCAAAGAATCCCCAGAGTATCCTTTTGAAGTTACCATGCCTTATGCTCTAAAGAATGTTTTCTTGTCTTTGGCGGCTTGTCCTCATATTAATTCCCAACTGACCGTGGTTCCGCAATGCCTTCCATAGGCATGGCAAATGGGTTCGCTGAGATCCGCGCAATGTTCCGATCCATTTCAATGCTGGTCTTTTGGTACTGCGCGACCTGGCAGAACAAACACAAGCCGTCACAAGCCAAGCACATCCTACGCCCGCAGGAGGCTGACAGCTGGCATCCTTTGTCAAAAGTGCCAATGCCGCCTTTTCACCCGTCGGCTTTGCACTCTTTGTGGGTATGCCCCCGCTTGGGACGCTGGTCAAACAGAAACATCCAAATTCAGTCTTTACGCAGACGGAAAAGCATGCGTCCGGGCAAGTGGCGGCAAACCCGTTCAGCAGGGCAAACCGACGGAAACACCGAAATGGCAGGTCTAAACGAGCGGCAAGGTATGCGCCTGGGCAACGTGTAACGGCAACACGTGAGAAACTTATCCAGCCGTACAGGGCGGAAGTCAAACCCCCTGCTGTGGACCCCTACGGTACCACCACTTAACAAAGCTCGAGCAAAGCCTCTTTGACAATTTGAGGCTAGCTTTCCGGAAGATGCCCAATCCATCGTGTCACTGTGAACACAGTGAACATGCCCTGCCCCTATGAGGAATGTCCAAATTTGGAGCCGCTCCTGGGAGGATCCAACATCAAGCCACCGTAGTGTGACCAAAAGGGCGCGACCAGCAGCAAAACTCTTACACTCAGCAACCTCCCGGACCTGTTGCATCCACAACACCCGTCATTTGGCCATGGCTCAAAAAAAAACCACGCCCAGTGAACATCCCAATCCCAACTAAAATAGACTGAAGTGGGTGGTGCACCTATCCCAAAATGGTACCATTGGTTTTGACCCACAGCCATTTATAGATGGCCCACCATGCGGCACTCCGGCCTCCGCCTCCAGGTGTGCGTTTTTCTGGTCCTTGCGTGGCGCGCTTTGGAGCTGCGGGCGACTGCGCCACGAAGCAGCTCACAGCCCAGCGCCAAGCATTTGCTAGCTAGCCATTTCCATGTAGGTGCGGCTCAAAATTAAACAGGAGGGGCAAACCACAGGTTTTGGTCCATGCTTCGACTTACCAGGGTTCCAGTTTTGTACTGGTTTTTTGAGCCGCAGCCATGTAGAGATTGCGTTCTTACCCTTTTTCCGTCGTCTATTTTAGCAAGGGAACCCTCCCCCAAAAAAGGGTAAAAGGGCACTACTGGGGGACTTAGTTAAGCAAACCTTGTTTCAGCATTGTTACCCCATATTTGGCGTGGTTACCTCACCATCTGTTTCCATGTACGTACTGAAACTTCACTTAGGAACCGAAAGCTGGCCAGATCACACGGAAATCCAAATGCACCACCGGCTAAGGTCGTTGTGGAGGAAGCCTGGAAGACCGCGGAGAACGGGATAGCATTGAGCACATTACAACCAGAACGCAAGCCGTCGCATCCTGGGTCATCACCCAAATTTTGCAACATCATGTCGAATGAACAGATACCGCCTGAGATTCAACCTGTGCTTAAGCAAACAATTTGCCACCATTCGTACTAATATGACCATGTTGGGGTCTGTGTGTGTGAGCGCCCACTGTGTGGGTTTGCTTGTGTGCGTGCGCGCTGTTCCGTGCTGCATTGTATTTATGTCGCTTTGGCCTAGCCAAAGCAGCGTGCTCTCAAGTTTGGCTTGCAACTCCGCTGCTAATGGACAATGTGCGTGACATCATATCGGGCAGGTGTCCAGCCACATGGGTCGTATTTTGTGATCTTGACTCCTGCAATCTTGTGAGGAGAAGGCATTGGTGCTTGTGCTGAACTCAAGCTTGTGTGTGTGCTTGTACTTTGTGCCGAAGTGTTGGCTAGTGCCGCCAGCTGTGTCCGGCTTGTATGTCACATGCCGTGCAGGTTCCCTGTTCGCACTTGTCAGCTGTGGACGTGCCAACATGGAGCCGGCAAATGCACTGCCATGGCAAGGATGGACAAGCCCCATCATCCTTCAGCTAACCAGTAATTTAGTTCAATCTGAAGATATGAAAAGCGGCTGCTGAGGAACAACTTAACAACTCATTGCGACATCCCAGGGCTGAACCCGCACTCTTCCGAAAAGCGGATAAAAATAACAAATCACCACACAGAGAGGCACAGGCACACACCCACACACACACACAGATTCTGTGCCACTATCACTGACCTGCAATTGACAGCACTCAGCCTCAACCCCGACCCAACCAGAACTCCTGTTCAGCCAAGTCATTGGAAAGGACCCTGATGCGGGCCGTCTTGTCGGCGAGATCCGTCTCCTGGGCGGGCGGCAAAGCTGCCATCACACGGAGACTCAGCGATTGGCTTGACACAATCCTCTGCAATCTGCCTGCACCGATCTTTGCATTCTCATCACCAAGACGATCAAGCGTGCTGGCAAAACAACCAAGATAACCAAGACCCTCCCTCCTGCAGTCACAGCTTTTCCTCCTAGGGTTTCTGTGCAACTCTGGACCAGTGATTGGAACGCACAGAAAGCCTCCAACCAAAACCTGCCACGCCTTTTGGGCAGCACATGTTGCAAACTCGAGCCCCACTCCTTCTCGCGCACGCGGTCATTGTAGTCTGCTTGAGCTGCCTTCACATGGCACAAATGCAATCCCAAGAAACATCTGGATGCCAAGAACAATGTGGGCATGGGGCAATATTAAACCACTAGGGGACCGCAGGTTTTAGTCCTTGTTTCCATCTTCAGTGCCCCCACACCCATGTGAAGCTACGACCTCTCATATACTTACTGATGTCATCAGCCCAGACCCCACCTGCCAATCCCTGTCGCACCCATTAGTTCCTCTCCATTCCGCGGGGCTGAACGCATGCCAAATCAATAGTGGTCTGCGTGTGGGCACTCAGAAAACAAATCATAGCAGGAGCCTGCTGCTGCTATTGAATCATGCAAACTTCAGCCATGCCTTGCGCTCCTTAAAAGTGCAGCTAGTCAACGGATATTTGTTCACACTGCGCGCCCGCCGGCGACACATCTCAGAGCTCCTCCTGAAATGGTGCCTGGGGCAAAAGGCGCGAAAATGGTTCGACAAGAAACGCGAGTCGGCCAGCCCATGGCTGGAACAGCATTGAGGATTGGCTTTTGGGAGATCCCTCTGAATCAATGAAGTTGTGTGACGTGGCCTCTTAGTTGTAAAAGCAAACGTGGAAACACAAAACCAATGCCGGTCCTTGTATTTGCTTTGGAGGGCATTGATCAGCTCCTCCTCTCTTCCAGCGAAGCGCTCTATCCATTGCGGAATGTCCTTGATCTCGCTGGGGTTGTGGACGGCCTTGCGCGAGGAGAATAACAACCCTCCAATGGCCCAAGATCTCAGCAGCGCACAACGGAATGGGCCAGTGAGATGCGGCTGGTTGTCCAAACAAAGCAAGGCATTCGAGCTGAAAGTTAGCCAGAACCCTCCTGTCCACCAACATGGAATTTCACGGGGGGGTCCCGGAAGACTCTGTTCCTCTTTAAAGGGGACATCTGGTGGTTCCATGGCAATGTGGACAGGAGGGTACCTCTTCTAAGGCATGGCAAGCCAAAAAAACGCAAACCTGAAGTGCCTGATCCAGGTGTGAGTCTGTAGCCATGGCACCAAGTAGCGCTCCAGATTCAAGCGCAAGCCCTCGCGGCGAGCGCCCAAAATGTGCGAGCGCACCAGGGCAAGGGCCAGCAGACACCTCAGCTGCGAGCTGCGCCCACAGCCTCTCTCTCTTTAAATGCCGTGCATGGCTGCAAAAATATTCTCGCACCACTTTGAGCCGATGGTTGGACCCATTGTTGGCCGGCATTTACAGCGGAATCATCATAGGGCTTCTTAGGTCGTGCAGGATTGCGCAACCATCCACACTAAATCGATAAACCCAGATTAATAAACCCAGAGGTGGGGCCCAGTGCAAGAGTGATGATTTTCCAATAAAAGGAGGTTCATTCATCCGGGGTGCCCAATATCAGTTGCTTGCAACGCAATGAGTGACTCGCCTTGCAGGATTGTCCAACAATTCTCACGACTTGCTGTTGCTGCTTCCAGCATACCCGGTGATGCGCGAGCCCAATACTGCAAGGCAAGCCACACGTCAAGCGCCAAAAGGGGTTGCCTGGAAGCAGCTATATAATGACCCCAATGGGTTTGGTGGGAACCAGTTCGAGGGGCCCCTCACCCATCCTTGTCCCACTTGTTTTGTCCTTCTATTTTTTCTTCGTCAGCGGACACCAGCGCTGCCCAGCAGAGCCAGCGGCTCCACGACCGGAAGGGTGTGCCAATGCGCTCCACATCCATCGAGAGAAGCCCGTCCCCTGCAACACAGGGTGCTTGGCTTGCCACCGAATTAATCTTGGGCAACTGTGGGAGTGGCTTCCTTGGATCCTTCGAAATTAACACAAAGCTGGAAACTCATTCGCGGCCAAAGCCCCAGGTCCAAAATGATTGCACCATTCGTCTGGAATCAGGTGTCAACTGCAGCGACTGTTCATGTTCGTATCCATCCGCGTGACGCAGGCAGGGTGAGGGTCAACGTGAGATTTGGCGCGGCCGACATCAATGCCAAAAGAGCTCCTAAAGCAAAGGTTCAAGCAGGCTTGAATATCGGGGCGCATGTACCTGTAGCAAGCCCGGACCATAGTATTGAAATCCTTTCCAACTTAGTATGCCACCAGTTGAGCATAACACCGTCATGGCGTGGCAGTACAAGTAGGTCATTGCGTTTCACCCACGCCGCATGCTCCTCTGCAGCCAAGAGGCGGTCCACCGCCACGCTCACGAGCCGGCTTTCTTTGCCGCCGATGTCTGCGCCTGACTTGCTGGGCAAACATCCACACCCATCACCAGTCCAAAGAGCAAAACCAACAGTCACAACAGTCACAACTGCCAGCATGTTGGGCCCTGGTCGCCAAATAAGGACAAACAATAAAAGCGGGCCACAGGGAAAAGTCGCGTGCTTGCCCTGCGCAGTTGCGGGTGCCGGGGCTTCTTGGCAAGGCGCAGCAGCTGCGCCAGCCGCCGTCCTCGCTTTTAACCGGGCGGGGCCCAGCCCAGTGACCTCGACCATTCGTTAGTGGGGAACCCACTCCATGAATCGGACCAAGGGTGCCACGCACTGGGGTTATGAGGCAAACGTGGCAAGTACTGTAGCCCAATGCAACATGGTCAGCGTTCTTGGGGCAACCTTCCCAACGGTCTGGGGCAGTTCTCCTGTCCCGTTCGGAAGTGAAGGGAGCTGCTGGCAGTGTTGAAGCGGCCACCTATTTGCAAGCTACGTCTTTACAACTCCATGCCTCCTACCAGCAAGACATGGGAGAAGCTCAACTTGCAGAGAGTAACTTGCGCATGCACAGCACATAGCACCAACTCGCAATCTCCACAGAGCTGCTTGCGCAAAGAAACTTGCACAAAGCAACTTGCACTGACCAGCTTGCGCAAAGCAACGTGGCTCGGTGCAAGTTGCTCTTTTTGTAGCGTGACGGCGTCAGCAGCTAAGTTAGGGTAGCTTCTAGTGCTCCGTGTTGGAGTTTTAGCGACGGGATTGCAACCCTCTGCGTTGCAAGCTGCTTCTGCACGCGGCTCGCTTAATGCGCTGTGCTCCTTTGTGCTCAAAAGCTGCGATTTGGAGCTGGGGCTGCGGGAGCGATTTCGCGTGCTACTCTGGCACTGAAAATCTGCGGTTTGCGAGTACTTCAACCTGAAACGTTGCAATTTTGCACAGGGCAATTGCGCAGAGCAACTTGCACAGAACCACAGCGCAACTTGCACAGAGCAACTTGCACAGAGCAACTTGCGCTGAGCAACTGCGCGTTCTGGATTTGAGTGCTACAGCCAGAATCGTGTTGCTTTTGCTCATTCTGCGAACATTGCTCACAAGCACAGCGGCAGCAGATATGCATCGCATGTTTGATGCGTGCCTTGGATTTGAGGACAGGTTCATAGCGGCTTGTGATTGCTCTTCTTGCCCCGCAGGGCTTTGCTGCTGCTGCTACCTCAAATGCTGGCAGACTTTCCAGCACAGTGCGCGGCGAAGCGCTTCCTAAACAAAAGCAAGAAGTGGCTCGCAGGGCATGTTCTGCGAAGTATGGGTTTCGTGCGTGAAACATCCTGGTGGGAGGGGGCTGAATGATTCCTCCAAGACTTTGGGAAACAACGCTTTCGGGCCCTCCTCAGGTTGTTGTTTGTTTGTTTTTGGAGGGGGGCTCCCAAAAACAGAAACGCAAACAGGAGTCTTTCTGGGAGGGGTCCTCTTATCAAAAGAAAACCAAAAGGAAAATCATACATTCTGGGAGGGTCCCCCAAAAAGTCACGCCCAAGCATCCCAACATTCCTCGGGATGTCCCCTCCAGGCCTCCAAAGCCACCACGCGGACGCGTTGAGATCCGGAGAGCACGGGCGCAACCGCGGGGAGTGGAGACCAGGCGCTCAGCAGCTCGGCCTCGGAAATTCAAGACCCTTCCTGTGGCATATCATGGGGGGGGTCATTGAAAAGGAGCTTGGCCTTGCAACCCTTCAAATGCTATGTTAGAGGGAGATAAGGTACTTCCCCTTCAATTTGGGTCTGAGGGGTGCAACTGTCAGTAGTTGTCAGCACCCAAAAGAACTCTCAGGGGAGAGTTCTTGTTGCTTGAGCCTTTTTGCTACCTTGCCGGCCGGCATTGCCATCTATGCAATCTACCACAGAATGCGTTGCTCCAGCCGAAATATACAATACCCATATGATGCCAATATGCACGCGCCGCCTTTGCGCAAGTCTCGCAAAAAATCGGGAAGCAGCGTCATCTATACCTTGTCCCCTCTCTCTCTCTCTGACTCTCTCTCTCTCGCTCTCTCCCTCTCTCTCTCTCGCTCGCTCGCTCGCTCTCTCGCTCTCTATCTCGCTCTCAGAGAGCACTGTCATCCCGTACCCGCTAGCGGTCACACTTTCTAGATCTAATTCTCGTGTATGGAGGCCTGAAGCAGGCTTCACGGATTGGCAACCATCCCAAACACACACCTGGCCCGCGGCTGGAGTCTCCGTGGAATCAGCGCTCAAAAGGCCTGGCCCCGCAGGATGCCCCCCCCAATAGAGTATGATCATGTTAGGCCTGCGCCCGAACCAACCCCCCCAACCAACAAGGGGCCCTCCCCCAAACAACCCCCTCAAAGAACAGCCTGCTCCAAGCAACAACTCATTTTGAGGTGTGGGAGCTGCGCCGATGCCTAAAAGTGTTGCTGTTGGGGCCAAGCCTACCATTGCATACACCGATGGAAAGAGGGCGCAACCTATGCGAAAACAAACAAACCTAGGAGTCCATCCAAAGTTGGTCAAGATCAATGTGCCCCCTGAAGCAATCGTATCTTACTCATTGAGAATACAATGACCACCGACATCCTGTCCAGAAGGATGTTTCGGTTTCTTTCATGGGATGGAGCAAATCAAAACCATCAAGTTGGACGTTCCCGCTGCCCTACCTTGAATATCCTCTACTTGCAGGTTTAATCATGCGCAGGCCGTGTAAAGAAAGGCGCATGCCTCTTACCTCCAGGCAATATCAGGCCTTCATGAATGCATCCAGCATGGAACATCCAAACGTACTCGTCCGAGACGACATGCGTGGGGTAA